GGGATCTCCCGGCCAGTCCCCCAGCTGCCGGGACGGGCTGGGCAAAGTGAAGCCCTCAAGCCCAGTGCAGCACCGCGCCGTCCTCACCCTGCTGGCAGGGAAGAAGCTCCTGCCTCTGCAGGCTGCCCGCCCGGCCGCTGCATGTCTGGCAGCTGCCAGTCCCTGCCCCTCCTGCTGAGAGCTGCCGTGGCGCCCTGAAACTGGGCGATGGGAAGGGATGCAGCCCTAGCTGCCCTGGGCACCCAGGCCTGTTTTGGGTGGCTGAGGGAGGCATGGTCTGGTCCGCTGGCATCTGCCCCTGCATCCCAGTGTGCTCCCAGCCCTGGGCAAGCTGGGCATGACTCTTGGGGGTAGGGGGACTGGTGCAGGCCATAGGTGAGCTCTGGAAACTTCTCAGGTGCTGCGGGTCTAATTTCACCTTCCTTTTTCTTTCTTTTTCTCCTCCCTTTCTCTTTCCTTCTCCCCTACAGGTGCTGAGCCTTGACAAGTCAGTAAGCCTTTTGCCTGCTCTCTATCCTCCCCGCATGCCTCTTCCCTGCTAGTGCCCCGTTCTCCGGGGCAGGGCCAGCCTGGGACAGGCAGCTGCTCTGCCTATGTGGGTGGGTCACTCCTGGCAGCAAGCTGTCCCTAGCCTGAAGGGCGAGCGCTGCCTGTCTGCCGGCTGCTGGGGCCATGGGGGGTCCTCCTGCGTGGTCCGCTCCCTCCTCCCGGAGACGTGACTCGGCTGGGCAGGGGGTGCTGGGCCGTGCTGGGCACCCTGCCCAGGGCCAGGCAGGCGGGCGGCACTGCCATGGGCACCGTAGGTGTTCACTGGGCTCTTGTGCAGCTCCCCTGCTGGTGATTTTTTGACCTTGGCTTATTCTTGTCCTGTCCTTTCCCCTCGTGGCCCTTGGGGCCAGTCTCAGACTGCCAGGAATGGTGGTCAGTCCTGAGTCAGTCCTTAATGGGCCCTTCCTACAGGGAGGAGGAGTAGGGGGTGTGGGGAGTAAGGCAACGTGTGGCGTCTCAGGTACTGGTGTGCTGCGGTTCTGTGCCGGGGGAGGTGTGGGGCAGCCCCAGGGAGGTGATGCCACGGAGATCTGTCAGATTTGACAGATAATTCTGTCACTCACAGGCAGCCCCTGCAGCTGCTGGAGCCCCCCAGCACTCCCACGTGCGACCCTGTGAAGTTGCAGCTGATAGAGAATGCTGAGGACTGGCAGCCCCGTACCGGGACCTTCCAGTCCCGCTCCTTCCGCAAACTGGCCCG